CAATTTTCCCCTACAAATCAGCCGACACACTTTTATGGGTTACGTATATTTAATCTCTGTTAAATTTACTTTCTGCATGGAATTGTCAGTCTTGGTTTTTTACCTAGTGAGCGACTAAGCAGATGTCCTGCCAGGCTTGATTCGAGGTCCAACTGAAGTACATTTCATTTAAGGTCGACCCTTAGCACAATCTGGCTGACCTGAACAACAATTTCATTTGTACTTTTTACTGTGCCGGATTTTGCTGCCCTGTTATTTAGGGTAGTTTACACAGACCGCGTTTAGACTTCCAATTTTCATCTAACTTGCCGTACGGGAACTACCTGCACATGTAACTAATTCAATATTGTAGTCAAATCAGATTAGTAATTTAAGATTTTTCAATAAGTTAATCACTCCTACGAAAATGATTATTTTCTTTTTACTTTGAAAGCCCGAACAGGCCAGGGGAATTCGATGTTAAATTATATATAGACACCTGCTGTAAGAACATCAATGCATGTTATCCCATGTCAAACACACATATCGTCAATTTCGCATAACAGGGGCTCTTCAAGCGAACTACAGTTGGATGAAATATCGATCAGAAACTACATAAATAAGACGGACCAAAAAGCATGTGTTTGTAAGGTAACATGGCACACCACAGCCTTGATTTAATATTTCCTCATGATGATACCATGGTAGCGTGTACGAAAATTTAGGTATTATACGTAACTGCGACCCACGTTACCCCCTCACCCCCCGCCTCCCGTGGATAACGCCACCCGCACTAATAGAATTTCATTTTATAATTTACCGCAATCTAAAGGACCTGTGATTCTTGTGGACACGATAACTTTCATGACTGACATTGATTCCGATCAATGAACGCTCCTACCACAGCACGGTACTACCGAAAAACAAGTTCCGATATTTATGATCACCTGCTTACTCAGATCTATGAATGTTTCGAATCAACTACACAGAATCAGATACTAATGGGAATTGTATTTACGGTCAGTGCTGCAGCTTAGCGCAGTCTCCTGAAGCCTGATTGCTGTCATAGGCATCTAAACAATAATCGGAAAAAGCACCTGCTTGTTGGCCAGTTCTATATGCTGTCATGCTATAAAGTTGTTTTTATGGCCTGTTTGCTAATATTTTCGTCAGCATTCATTGGATAGGGCAAGTCAAGGCCGACCGGGCGATAGGGTAGTGAAAAAAGTGTGCATCAAGTTTAAAATAAGATGACTCAAAATAAAAGTATATAGAGCAAAAATAGCTTTTTGTCAGCATTTCTTATAAATCGAAATTATGTAATATCTGTATGAATAAAATTATAGTTATTCTGCAATCGACTTTGGGATTAAACAAGAGGAAAAGAAGCAAAAAGGTTCCATATCCCTTTGACTGCCTTATTTGTCGATTGAATTTTGCTTCTTCGGCTCATAAATTCGACTGAAATAAACATGAGAACCAAAGTAAATATACGTTTTCACCTACATCGCGAAAACCAACTGCGCGGCAGAAGTACAGAGCGTGTACATATCGATGCGCAACTAGACCTCTTCGCCAATCAGCAACAAGTCCATACGCTTTACCATAGATTTTTATCGCATTTTCAATTTCCATGTTGTCAAAGAAAAATAAATAGCTGTCAATATAAGCGTAGTTAGAGTAAGAAATTCTAGTACCTGGCCAGGCTCTACCTAACAACAGGTAGCAACGAAAAAAGCGCAAAGGTTTTCTAGAAATGCACTGCAACGATAGACGGAAATGGGAGGCCACCAGGACTTCCAAAGGACCGTGTTGACGACGCACAGCCACGAAGGGATAGTCGGTCATTAAGCATCGCTCACAAGAACGCTAGATGGGCGCAAGTTGGAAAGAATTACGCCAATAATTTAGAGACTGGGCTTTTATACCTTAACCGCGTCCGAACTAACAACAATTTATTATAGAATGTATTCTTTTGGCTGCCAGCCACGCTGCGTCCAACATTCAATTGTCCTTCGACTGGCAATCGCTCTTACAACCGTAGGCCATCGCCGAATTCTCCAACTGACCTGCGCCCTCATGCCGTCGTTTATTATCGTACTACGCTTCCGGCGCCTTCCCTTCCCGAAGTACGAATTCGGCAATTTCGTGCAGTATATAGATGCTTACTCCACGCACAGAATATGCCCATTCGTCAAGTCCCCTCTATCGGCACTAACCCTTGGCGACCTAGCCTTCCTTTTAGTCGCTTACATTAGCATCGGCGACCAGCTAGACCACGATCTAACGGGCCTACCGATAATAACGGTCGCAACGGGGATGCTTTTCCTTGTGCGACAATATGGCTAGTGGCTTTCGCAGGCCGCAACCGTTGGTCTCGCTCCCACTAGTAGGTATTCCTGTTCACGATGCATGTTTTCGATGCTTCTCAGGAAATGGCGGCTTTTAGTGTAATTTTAGCTTTGTGAATTTTTTTGTTGCCTCATGCAATAACAGACTCTAGACCCCACTCGACATCTTTACAAGAGAAATTGTCCCGTCAATGCCGGGAAACCGCGAGCGTCGCTGTGATAAACGCACTGATTGGTACCGCGGGACATTAGAGCGCATAGTCAACAAAATGCATCGATGTTTCCCAGTAGCCTTCCGATAAGGACACAGTGGAGTCCATAGCTTGCTCTACCCGATTTATATACCTTAGTTCTGGACGCTGATACAAAAAATAGCTGACTAAGCCCCCCTCCCCGTTTAACTTCAAAGTTCGTATCAACTACATTAGCCCTCCGGTTCCGTTAATTAAGAAAATATGTTTGAACTAGTTCAAGTGGGCATATATCCATTTGTTGACTAAAAATGCTTTAACGAGCTAGCTAGCGAGAGATCGGCAAAACACAAGCGGTTCTAGCGTCTCTTCCAGATTCTAAATCCCACCTCGTCGTCCTGAAAATCGACTAATCGCTCTCGCGTTTCATCTACGCTCATAATTACACAAAAAGTACATAATTATATATAAACAACAGTTTGATGTCTCCAAAACTAATCTTTTACGTGAATGAGTTCTATTTATCATTCTGCAAACGTACTCTGACAGCGGGGTTTACAGGAAAAAGAAAGGAGAAAAATAATCCAACAGTCACGACCCTAGGGGACGCTAGGCTTCAATTAGCATCGTACTTGCCTTTGAAAATTTTACGAGAAATTGACATCGTCTTATAAGTAATTTCACACACTCAACATTTCCTTACAATACGTTGTCAATTGGACGCCATTAGTATCATGGCATTGTTAACGTATGCCTATTATTGTCGGGCAAGAGGTCCAAATCAACAAGGTTGCGAATACGCCGAACGGGACGGTTACCTGAAAAACGATTGCGCCAACTTTTTACAAGACGTTTTATATCGATGATAGATGATATTTGTTTTAGGATGATAATGATCAACTGTTGCTACAAACGCGTGCTATACTCAAGTTAACATACTCGAATCGAGCTAAGTTTGTAGATGATAAGTTCAATTAACGAAATACAACTTTCATACAAATATAGTTGCAGGTTCTGGCGTGTTTATGGTAGCAAATTGGCTTAAGAGCTTATCCAAAGTAGACGAAGGGTTTGCCAATTTGATCTAATCGTTCGAATTGGCAAACAGTCTCCTTTGTTGTTTGCGTTGTTTTCTGAATGGCATTATGGACCTTACCGGAAATATTCGACGGACGTCAGCAATTTCACAAAGGCGCACATAGTCGATCGATTATGTGTCGGCCTACTTTACAAACTTGATTATGTATTGAAATTTTGAGTTGCGTTCATACGGGATGGCAAAACAGCAAGTCACAACTACTACACATCTTTACACATGCTTTCAGTATCAATTGTACAGTTACTTTTTGGTCGTGACCACTTCGCTCAAAAATTAGGTGTTTTAATAATACGACGCACGTTCTCAGCTAACTCCTATCAGTTCACCGGTCCCGTTCGTCTGCGATATCACAAGTCCAGCTAGAATGATTTGGGCATGACCATGCGTCACACTGAAGAGCGCCCGTATGTACGTAATTCGTCAGCCCGGACATCTATTGCTGAATGTCCATGAACTTATGGGTTGTATAAATGAATAGAAAGATCATTTGCTGACACAACTGATGCGTATATACGTTGATGGCGTTGATTTGTTTGTTTCAGAGACAAGCATATTGTACTCTTTTTGCTTTGGATTTGACTATAGCTTTGTAAACTTGCACTCGAACCCTGCCACCGGCCGCGGCTACCTTTTTGCTTTCAAGTCGACTATTATGAGATTTGTTACTTTGATACTATTGATTAGCAATAGATTACATGTACACATTTGGACTCAGCATAATTTCTCTAGGACGGCTTATGTACGGGAGTATGCTGCACCAATAATCCTGTGTGTGTAGTAGTGATTTCAACATCGCATTCGGTGTTTTCCCTAACCCATGGCTTATTCTAAGTTTTCTACACGTTGTTTCACTTCAATGATGTATTTTGCATTGGTTGAGACGACGACCTACAGGCGGAAAACCAATAGTATCGCAGATTTTGTGCAATACTTGCAGGGAATACATTAATCGCATCAAAACCTAGCTTTAAGGTCATCTAGAATTCACCACTACTACGATAAGTTGTAAAAAACTTCCGAAATGTTTTTTGTTATCAGAAGTGGCGTTGACGTAGAGTTTTCACCTAAGAATCCAGCAGAACGCCAAGAACCAATTCATGAAGGCTGCTTACCCTAGAGGATACGCTTTATGTTTAGTAAATTAAAGCTAAAACAGCTGCTAAGACAGGAAGCCAAGGCTGCTATAGTGATAATGACGTCAACTGACCTCATTTCCTTGGAGCACGGTTCGTAGCTCTTTGCTCCGTCCATTTGGCAGTTTCAGTAGCTCACTTCCAAATGGCGGCTATATATGCCTCAAGCTCAAAGTTATGTCAGCTAGTATGCCCCAAAGATCAGTCACTTCGTTGCAACGCGACCTTTTTACCTGTCTGGATCGCGCTTCAATAGGTTACCAAGGAAAGTTAAAATATAGCAGTTATGTAACGCGTATACAGCAATGAAATAAGGCTGCACGTATTTTTTACGAGTTAATCTTTATTTCCTTCCTCTCGTATTTTACTAATGTAAGGCATGAACTTGTACAAAACTTCAAACGTTAACAAAAGTTAACGTCTGCTTATTTACAGCCATCCACAACGGACCCATTTAGCTTTCACAACTAACAGCAAGAATTCACAATGGCTATTTCATTAAATTGTTCAAGTGTTTTCCTTCGTTTTAAAGCTTAAGTAACCGAACACTGCCTTAGCGGCACCCTTTGTTTTTTACACATTATCTACACCTTAGATGAAAAGCTAGGTTCGAGGAATATGCATATCATGCATTGAAAGCCCCGTACCAGGTATGAAAAAAAAAAACTAAAAATCTACGTGATCAATTCTCATATACGCAACATGGGATCCCATCATGTTTGCTACAAATACGGGGAGTGATACAGACTGATGTGGATATAGAAAAACCGGCCACAAAGGATAATTCATACGTATTGTAGGTATATACTTCACCGAAATTATGATACACAAAATTGTTTTTATTCCTTTTGGCAAAATCCAAATATTACAAAAGTACAGAACTATTAATCCATTATCCTATACGCTACACGTTAGATCTGTCTATCTGTAGTGACAAACACACCGCGAACCCGATAAACTGTTTCGGTATTTCCCTATTTGGCAGATGACAAGGTAATCACGTCTGTGCAATTGGTGCCCCCTTGACGTGGCGATGCGGCCGAATTATTGACGCCTCATCCTTTTGTTGCGCCCGCTAAAATAACGTTGAATCGCCTTGACCAGGCAAGTCATCATTATTAGGTGAATCTTAGCAAACGCTATTATAGGAAAACTGTCTCCGGCTCGCAGTGTCATATGCAATGATTTATTTTTTACATTGGACCTCCATTATATGTGGAATATATGTGTATATATATATGTTAGTAACTTTGTATATATTGTTTCGCGACGGCGATCGATATCCATGTAAAATACCGTAAGCCAAATAGACCTTTGTATCGAAGGTATGTTTTAAGGTCATCGATCAAAAACCATTATACCTGTTAGTAGAAATGTTTTAGTGTGGATACAAAGTTTTTTTCTTACTATTAGATGAATTTCTATATGCACCAGTCAGCTTAAGTGTATAGTGTCATCTTCCCAATGTCGGCCTCAGCACCACCCCACAATTCCTCAGCGTTTTCATTCGAATCATTAGTACAATTTTCGTGAGCCGCTGTTGCACCTTAACGAGAGCTGCACAATGTAACCTGCAAGTATATAGACATCTATATAGAAATTAACGTATACGTACGTCTATATTCACTGTTCATTGTGCAGCGGCCTATCTGTGTCTACATACTTAATTAACACGCGTAGACTTAGTCATTTCGCGCCGTTTTCTACGATTTGTTCTTCACCTGTATATTACACAATGTTAATTATATACAAAACGTCTTTCAGACATATTGGCGATAGTTGTTTAACTGGCGCGGAGCGGGGCGCCAATAGGTGTCACACACCGGGCTTAGTTCACGTATTCTTTATCGCTTCGTTCTTCTCTTGTGTTAAAGTGCGCTCCCGGAAGACTGCAATGAATTGAACAGGGTTTATTATCTCTTGAAGAGCAAACACCGTTACAAGTCGTTAGTATACAGATTTTTGTTTGGGGGAGAAGGAGGAAGAGGGTAATCATTCTAGAACTGGAAATACCTGCAAACGTCAGAAAATAGGAAACGGTTATCTTAAGAGATCCGAAGAACCAATTTGTTCTTTAATATGATGACATAACGGACGTCCCTTATGATCCACAGGTGGCGATATGCATGGCTACGACCGCCATATCCGACCCCGTCAGACCACAATACCCGCACTGGTACAATTTTTCTTGAGGGGGCAAGGAAGGTGGTAATACCAATTGCTGTTCCTCTCGGATTCGCTGCTGCTGTTGCTGTGAAGGCTGCAGTCGCAGCGTGTGACGTGGGTGGCCAATCTGATGTTGTAATGCAGGTGCGACCGGAGCTTGCACGTGGACTTGAACAGAACAATTATTAGGTGTGCGATGTTGTGTCTGGGATTTTTGTCCAGACTGATGAGCAGCCTGCTGAAACGCCGTTCCGAGATAACTGTTCGGCTGTGATGGTATCAGACGATGCAGGGCTCGCTTCTGCGACATCCCGATGACACCGTTGTTGTTGTTGACCGAGTTCGATGGGTTTGCCATGTTCTGTACAGTATTGGGCAATGGTGAATGATGGATAGCCTTCTGCACAAGCTTTGGGGGTGACGGTAATAGTGCCGATGTAAGACCTAGATGGGTTGTGACAAATTTCGCGACCGGTGACCCTTCTTGGATCTCAGCTGTCGGCCCATGAACAGTTCGCGGCGGTGATACAGCTAGAACAGGTGGATTCGGGTCAAAAGTGGCCATGTTTTCGATCGCCGGCGTTCTCTTGAACTGACAATGATTGGTAGTCTGTATGGTTGGTATGCACGTTGCTTTTATCACAGTAGGTGTCGCAACAAAAGGCGGCCCCCTTGGCAAGAGGTTCTGGATATGTTGTTCCTGGTCTGAGGCTAGTCCAATTGCATGACCACTTTCAACAGCCTGGGTATGCACTGGAATATTATCAATATGCTGCACAGATGTATCCACACAAACGGGCGCCACACGCTGAACCGGGATAACAGCGCTACGTGGCTGAGTATTCAGAGGTGTTACAGATGCTGATAATCTATTGTTGTTAGTTTCTGGTTGGATTGTAGCACTGGGAGATGTTGCGAGCAAAGACCGCTTCACAAATGCTGTACGCGTCCGATTTAGCTTTGATGGCGGAGTCGGCGTGTCGTCCTCCAGAATAATTACTTCACTTGAATGTGATGCTGTTTCTTTAACAGTTGATACGACGGAATTTAGTATAGGATCTAGCCTAAAGGGTGATACTTCAAGGTTTGATGTACCTTTTAGGTTGCGTTCTGGGTTCGTCAAAGAACTTTCGCTTAAAGGTGTCAACGTAGTACCTGCTAGCTGTGAAATCTTTTCTGTCCTACTTTCAGCGACTCCGACTCGACGTGCTGGCTCCTCTTTAAAAAATGTATGAGAAAGTAAGCTTTTTTTCCAGGAGCTAATGTCCAGCATCTGCTGAAGCCTTCGTCGAAACTGGTGGTTTATTGGGGCGCATGCAATTTGTCTTACTGACTGCTTTTGTAGGTTATTATTGGGTTCAAAGATGCTTAGCCTAGCATTCAATGACTCACAAAAAGCAGGGGTGCCTTCCTGTGCCCCCATTCGACAAAGATCATTGGAAGATGATTGCCCACTAGCCGGATCTAATTTGGTTGGAGGTGAATGGGGCGCCGTTTGAGCTTCATTCTCTTTCGAAGCTTCTTCCGGTTCATCGGGAAGCGACAGTAAATCAACGAAATCTACAGGTTCTTCTTTGACGCTCAGATCGGGCGACGTTGGAATCGGTCTAGATTTGAGGGTTGTGTCCAACTTTTCTACCTCAGATTGATCCGCAGCGCACTTCTCTGGATGCTCTATCTGACATTCTGTATTGGCTCCTTGAGTCACGAACGGTTGGTTAAATTCTCGTTCACGATTTGGATTTCGGCGTTTAGTAATCTTTATTCTGGCTTTTTTAATTCCAAAGCAAGCTGGACGGTTTGATGGATCAAGATATCCGTTTAACGACAAGGGGTTTGCTGGCGTTTGGCTCTCTTGCGAACTAATACCATTTCCGTCATCAGGTGGATTTGAATAGGATGATGTTAATGATTTATGTTCTATTTGCGGTAAAGGCCTCTTTACTGTGCCAGGTGATGCCAACGTGTCCTCAGTACGACTGTTTGCTAAAGAAGTCGTGGAATCTACCTGAATCAGATCACCCGAAATTTTTCGTGGTGTTTGTTGTTTTCCACCAAATTGTCTATTTACGCAAGCCCTTTTGTTGTTACCATTCTTAGCAGGTACATTTTCCTCAGAAAATTCCATTGCTTGCAAGCGTGCTGCTGACGCGATCGCCTTTATGGCGTTCTCAATATTTGTTTCTGAGAGCATAGGACACGTCAGGTCATTCATGGACTCATCGGACGCAATATCTACTGAGAGACCATTAAATTTAAGGCAGTACAAGTCCTCTTTCTGAACCATAACATCTTTAGGCTCGCCTGCAGTTTTTACAGACGTGTTCGGTGACGTAGGTTTATCAGTCATTGAGGTTGTCTGCGATTTTGGTGTTTGAGACAAACCTTCTGCTTTTATCGGTGAACCTCCCGATGTTGATTGTGCTGGCGGCAATGACGATGATTTGGAAGAAGGTTCAGCCTTCGCTGCTGCCGCGACCAACGCCTGTAATGACGCTTTCGTTACGGGGTGCTTCGAGACGGACGCTGCCGATTTTGGCGCGTTCGATATTTGCTTTGTCGATAATGACGATGACGTCAGCTTTGCCGACGTATCGTTAGGCCTATTAACCGGGGTCGTCGGCTTCGCTGAATGCAGATGCCTCGCCGAAATCGAATCGATTGGACCCAGTTCGATTGCCGATTGTTTTGGCAGGACAGGGGGGTTGACATTGAAGTTCGCGCCGGATGCAAATGTCTTTGGTAATAGCCGCTCGATGCTTTCACTCGGCGTTTTCAGGCTGCGAAACCTTTGCATGAGGTTTACGTCCATCTTGAAAACGTTTTTGTCCACCATCTTGATGCTGGTCAGTGGATTGTGCTCAGTGGTTATCACGAGTCTAGCTGTTACGGTTGTCGGCTGGCTATTATTCTGAAATCAGAAGGACCAGATACATACATATATACACTAAGCACAAATGCCATAACGCAGGAATATACGACAACTGACTGTTACGACCTGTTCGCATGGTACTTGGTTATCCCTGTGTCACAACATCAGCACCCGTAGAAGCAGTAGCAGGCCCATTCAGTAACGGAAAGTTAAGTTAGAACAAATCGTCTAACGCGGCAGTTTTGCGACGGATGCATTTACCAGAATTCCAGGAGCGGTGGAAGCGGCCTCATCTGATATACCACTTTACTACTTTTACCTTTAAGAACTGCGGTATCGTATCAAAATGCATCGCTACTGAATAATATGGCTGTACCGCCTTTGGTCAGAGCCCGTCTGATCGAGCGATTCAACCTACTTATCTATCCATCTGTTGGTAAAATCTGAATGCGTACGTATATGCAAAGAACAAAAGTATAGCCGTTGTCGTCCTTCCTGCCAATCAGTTGATCTGTTAATCAGAAAGTTTGTTTGTTTTCTATAGCACAATTTTCATCATTGTCATGATTATTATCGCGCCCGATACCAGACAAACTGCAGACATTTTAATAACAATGCATTTTGTGCTCACGTCCACCGTCCCGCAATCGATGCGTACCTAACCGATAGAACTATGGTAATGTAAAGCTGTTCCTTTTAGTTAATCTCAAAACGAGAACTATGATCTTTGGGCTCGACTATGGCCAAAACTAACTATGGGCCTAACAGAGAACAAAGAATACACTGACGAAATACGGACAAATCCACATCGTATATATCGACCAACATTATCTTCATCACGTCGCGTCCTTTAGCTGTGTCTTCTGTTCCTTGTTCTTGGTCGATAGCTAGTTAAAGCCACTTCACTGAATTCAACGTTCTTGCCTTAACCCCCAACTAGCTTCATCCCAATTGTATATTAATGAGAAAAAGATCATGGCCACTTAAGCATTTAATACAACAAGTCCCAGAGTAAGAGTTGATTCTGCTACTAACAGATGGTATCTTGTGTTCTTCCACCTAAAAAGGCGCATTCGTTCCATCAATTTCAAAATCACCTCGCCGGCCACACTATATGCTGTCACAATCGTTAACATCAATATAAGCACCGTCTTTGATCTTAGCGGCCTGTCCTTGCTGGGCACCGTGCTTTTTTCTGCTTTATCACCATCAACACTTACCCTAAACAACTTTTTAAGATGCACGATGCCCTCGTTCTCGGTTCCTTCTCCTGCTACTATTGAAAGCGATCTAAATCAGCAGCGCAATCCTTTCGTCCCCTTCATTTAATCGTCTTCTCCCTAACATGTTAAAGGGCATCCCGATAGGGGCCTTTAGCACGACAACGGACACCGTAGCCGCTGGCTCTCACAGTCGTAATTACGGTGGTACTTAATAGAAGATGTCGCTATCGAAACTAACACAACAACTGCAGCAGCAGCAGCAGCAGCAGCAGCGTCCATAACGGGCAAATGACCGCGTGCACACGGAGGCCACGAGCTTGCAAGAACGGAACGAGCGAGCGAAGAGTCAACGGCACCCGGCACCGACACCCGTCGTAGAAGCTGATAATCGAGCATCGGCGGCTTCATCCTCGGCGAACAAAAAATGGTAACATTGGCTGTTGGCACTTGCAGCGACTGTACTCCACTTCACGGTACTGCGGGCAGTCTAGCAGTTCCGTCGCGTTGAGCTACGTAAAGTAGAACTCTGCTTACCACCAGCAATGGTCACGACAGCACGGACACCGCAGCGTTGCCGCCCTCCTTACCCTGCTGTTGGTATCGTCGGTGTCGCTGAAGTTCGCTAACGAGCGCCGAACCATGCATGTGAAAATCGCTGCGTTGTCGTGGGCGACGCCGTAGTCCACGAAATGGATGGATATCAGCCAGTATGACCTAATACAAATGAGAAAAATAAGCTGAGTTGAACAGTGGAGACACGCACCGCAATAGCCAAACGGCCAGATTTGTTTTAACAGTTACAGAAGTAGTCGTGATAACCAGTGAAGCTATATTGCATTACTGCCATCCGTTCAGTTTAGTTAAACAGCATTTCGTAGTAGCCCTGCACAAGTCATCTATTGTCACCCGCCTGTTTGGTAGGCATTCATCCGACTGTTCGCCTGGCCATTGTTGTTCCGTATGTGTTTAGTTTGCAGCGTTCCGTTGCGTTGTTCCTCCGATCACACGACTTATTATCCGTGATGCTTGCGGCTGTGGTGTTCAGTAGCAGCAGCAGCAGCAGCAGCAGCAGCAGCAACAGCAACGACGACGGGAGTTACGGCTGCGCCGTAAGCTCAACCGCCATCGGCTGGAGGCGAACCGAGAGACGCGACAGCGCGGTCACCGACGGCGATATCAATAGAGGCGGCAGCGGGCGCCACAGCACCATCCTTGCTTCAACTGACGGCGAAGTTATTCTTCCGCTGGCACACAGACCCTTATGGCACGTTCACTGGCGCCTGCCTGCTGTGCTGCTGCTATTAGCTGACTGGGTTCCCAATGCTATCATCTTACAGAAAGGCCACAGCAGCAGCATCAACAGCAGCATGCTGTGGCGCTCAACTGTGCTGGCGACTAGCGCTGCTGAAGCTGCTCCTGCCGAACAATATGGCGGCCGTTTTGAATTACGTGGCGGGCGCAGAGCAAAGCAATATGAGCATAAGCCGTTATCTAGCCGCCGCACACTATCGCAGGAGTACAAAATAGTTCGTATGAAGGCAGACCCGCCGTCGGTCAGAGACAAAATGCGTACAGTACACAAATCCATGTTCGTCGAACGAAATAAGGCAAAAACGGAGGAATTCTAGATAGAATCATCGCAACGCCTATCTTATCTAGCTAGATGTGTTGTGCAATACTGTGGCTGTGTCTACGTCCTAGACAAATGAGTCAATGCTATGACAATGCTCTCCTCATCCGGAGTGCGTCGGTCGCGTTTGGCTTTGTTGGGCAGCGATCGGCTATCTGTCGTTTTCTATTGCTGCAGGCCGCTCATTGGCATGATGGTTGGTTTTCGTGCGGTGTTGATAGCGGCATATGAGCGATCTTCCGTCTTGTAGTAACAAGGCAAACTAACAAACATGCTGAACTAGGTTTAATTGCTTTTGTGTACGTGTCTGGGTAAATGCAAGAGCGCATTATGTTTTCTTCAAGTGTAATAGTTTCGTTTTGCCGACCCGCAATTTATACCGCCTAATTCAACCACTTATGCTAGATGCATTGAGGTAGAGTTCCGTGTAAGGGGAGAGAGAGAACGGTAGAAAGTTCATGCAGATAGGGGTTTGCTGACCGAGTTATGACAATGGAACGGTGAGTTATGGTCAATTTATTCGGCGATGGAGTGCTTTACTTTTGCTATAGACGCCTGTAGATATAGACAGGTTCCAGTGGGTGTACTGTGTGGGAGTCGTCCAGTTATCACGACGTAGTGCGTGTCTAGAAATACGAAATTGTAACTGATGGCCACACGTGTTTACGAATAGGAAAAGATAAATTCGTGCATTGTTTTAGTATAAGTACGAGGGCCGCTGCGTGTTTTGAGAGACCAGCTAGCTGCCTTCGCGACAGCACCGAGTAAGCTCGTTCGCACTTCCTGTTTTTTTCTCGCAAACACATCCTTAGTATAACATCGTACTCTAATTCTTAATTTATGATCATATTTGCACTTAATAGGAAAAACCTATCAGTATAGCTGTTCAAAATTGATTATTACTAAGCCTTACGTTTGTAACACTGCGGTCGTTTCAAAATAGGCCAAATTAGCTTATTTTAACGTTGTTGTTTACTGGCGCGCGCGTAGCAGGACCAGAGGCAAGCTGCTCAAATGATTAGACGTAAGTTTTCCCGATATAAGGACTTCGTAGAGCCTTAATCAACATTTCAAATAGAAGGCAACATGGAAAAATGGAGGAAGATCAACCTAGGTGTTAACTGCAGTCTTTGGTTGACATGATTCAGTGACCCAATTTACTATCATGTATAGGCAGAGATGCCGCCCGAACATGTAGGCCAACTAGCTGCCACATTTGCGTTGGTAAGTAAGCCAGATCGTGACAATAAAAACAAACACACTGGAAAACGTCAAAGCTGATACTGTGACCGCATGTTGAGAGCGGTTTATTACACCAAACGTTATTACAAATGGTTATTTCTTTGTTTTTTTTCACCCTGCAAATTAAGCCAACGAAATCTTTTGGAAACGAGCTAAGAAAGTCTCTCATGTGTAAAGGAGTTTGCTGTCAGGGGTTTCGCCGTCGGAGATTACTGACGACTAATCGCATGATCGTACCGTCGGCCATCTTAAATACAATCGCAAAGCGAACTTTTTAAAAGATACGTCCCATTACCACGTACCCGTGCAAATGCAAGAACGAGCTATTCAATAGGCTTGCGTAATATCTCTGTGCATGTACCATAGCGAATGGGGTCATCGTATCGTGCCAAGTAAATCTCCAAAGAGTCATCTTCAACGACCATTTCCTACCGCTTTCAAAATGTTTAGCTTCATCATCTCTGTTAAGTAAATATTCTCACCAGCTGAATTATACTGCTTGTGTTCGTCAATGTCTTTCTACTTTATTAGGCAGTCGAATTTTACAATAACACGCTTTGTTCCTTTTATGAATCACTGCGTATTTAGTGCTAAGGGCAAATGGCTATGGTAGGTAATAACAGTTTTTTCCCCACTCATTGTTTCCTTGGTAACTGAAAAGGTGGACTTTAGAAAGAAAAGTTCTTCGGAATTGGAGGACCCGGGCCAATCTGTGTTTTTTCCTACACGCGTTCACCATCATTGACGTGATTCTCGCTTTCACTCTTACACAAAGATCCAGTAAGGACAGATTTGTTCGGGTCGATCTTCGTCTGTTGGTTGACTCTACGAGATTTCGTTCCAAATCTTAGAAACGTTTTTTCCGCAGTTCCTTTCTAGGCTTTCTATACTGATTATTACAATGCTTTGTTTCGATTGGGGAGCGAGTTACTGTCGTCACTCAATATAAATATGCTTTGTATTGTTCTTCAAAATCAGCATCTCGGGATTCAATCTTCGACTATCGATAGAAACGTCACCCTCCTTGCGATCCTTACGACAAGACTGGAACTAGATTTGTCCGAAGCTCCTCGCCATTCTCGACTATGCAAATTTATGATCATGTTGTGCTTTACCAGACAATACATACAAATACTTGCACTTTCTTTAAGTAACAGCTGCACTTTCTTTAAGTAATAGCTCATAGACACGACTTTTCCCGATACGTAACGTCCGCTAGGTTAAGATTGTGGCATTTTTTTTATATATTTAACAAATATATTCAACCCAGCAGTGTTTCTTGCCAGCGCGTGTAATTCAAGTCTTTGAGAAGGTCTCTCAAGTTTTTAGATATGAAAATTAGCCTTTCTGCAGATGGAACATCAAGATTTTCGTCAAGGTAAGTCTGTTTACTGGAAGTAGTCAAAAACCTTTGACGCAGTTGTCGAAACCGTTAGCAATAAAAGAAAAGTTATCACATTTATGAGCAGATTGTTGTTCTTGTTTATTGTATCCATTTCTTATTGATCAGGCATTGTGTACCGTTGGAAAATTCTGAGCATTATTGTTGTTCGGATAGCGGATCAGCGACACAAAATTCTGTCTGGAATTTGAGCTGTAAAGTTGGATATATATCCGACAAAGAATATCCCGTCTACAACGTTAAATTTTCTCCGAGCACCTAGAAGGTTTGTTCTTAGACTTTACTAGTAAAAATGTATGGCCTATGTGGCAATCATTCGTCACATTTCAAAGGTGACCCAAGGCGATCAAGTGTATTGTCTTAGTAAAAACACTACTCTGGAACATGATAAACCACTTGAGCCGTACATTCAACGATGTGGTTCTTGTCCAATAATTTCTATCTGTGACTGTTTTTTGCCGCCTTTCAGGCCTGAATAGTTGAATAATCAGCTTTCGCTGTCTGGCATATTGAACTCAACCAATATTGGAACTCGTAAGCGTTACGAGTCAAAACTATACGATTCTAATAATAACAGCTTTGTCGAACAAAGAAACAAATGCAAAGTTTTCTAAAGGCATACGACACTTATTGATCAGTAAAGAGAAATCTAGACAATGAATAATAGAAGACGAAATCGGCTTGCTTAGATGTCCAAGATGTTTAAGCAATTTTTTGCTAAGTAGTAACATGCACTTTAGTGATATTCCGGTACGTAATATTAAAAAATTCCAGATTTTTAAACTTAAAATTGATTTTTCTAGATCTTTACTTATGGCAGTAGTGTTCCAGGGAAAGACACAACCGTTTTTGACGTATGTGGTCGACGCTCGACGGATATATGAACGTCGTTTACCCATCATGTGATAGGATGCCAAGAAGAATTTTTCATTAGATGATATTTATTACTATTGTTAGTAGTAAATTCTGTGTGCAAGCGTTCTCCTGTTTGGTATCATGTGGTACGTTTACGCAACTCTGAACGATCATCGTACGCACGTCCAACTCGTTGTAGAAATATCTTTCTATAGTAGATACAAGAGCAGTTGATCTACACGTGGCAGGAGAGCTACGTACAGCGTTACATTTGGTTAAGATAATTTATCGCTAGTTAAATTTAAACAGTCAACAGAAATATATAATTTGTCAAAATTCTGAAAATATCACAATTTATAAAAATGTTTTACGGAAGCAAGATGTTCGGTGGAGTTTCGCAGAACGTACAAATGTCGTGCTATGGAACGCTGATTCAAGCAATAACTGTTCGCTTATCTTCTAGATTAAGGACTAAACGGGACACATCAGGAATCACCAAAATGTTATAGAAGCAAACTTTTTCAATAGTGGAAAAAATCCAATTTACCATTCGTGTTTTCGCTATCAATGATTACCATTTAAGCATTTGTGCATGATAGTCCCATTGTTTAACCCACATGGGACAAAAGCACATAGGTCATTTAATAATGTCCTATAACTCTGTAGGTTCTGCGTGAATTTTGAAGAACTCGCGTGACACTTACCGAAATCTTGCTGCGACAAGAATACGTCATCGTTGAGTTCCATACAAGCAATGATATCGCCTATGCTTTCATTCATCTTTGTCTCACCTCGATCGCCCTTCCCTGTCGTAGAATCGGACAGGAAACCGAAACCTTAACTGCTTATTTTGCAAGACAGACCAGACGAAGCAAATGTCAGCTAAACACATTGGACGTTTGAATCAAGAAGATAAACATTTTCGCCGACGCGGTGCCCCTCAAAGCAAGCCGAGAGAGTTAGGCAAACAGAAGTGTCACGAAAGGATACTGATAGTTATAATATACCTATGCATGCTAGCTAGAAGTAAGTTCTTCTAGAAAAGCTGCATGAAAACTTCCGGCGGAAAATTTGCCCATCGACTTGGTTTTTTGTCTATCATCGTCTCGTTGTATCCTTGATTGATAGTGCGTTTATATAGATTAACTCGAAGGTGTCGTCGAGCCTCGCTACCAGCGACTACTAAACCGCTTATGATTGTTAGCGTAGATAAAATCACGTTGAAACTTTTGAACACTACACACGAAAAGCATTTCATTCTACAGAACAGATTACAGCATAGAAGCATTTTGACCGGAGGTATTCAACTCGATTTCAGTGACCCATATAGGATGCTCGTGTGCGTCCCTGTGACCCAACTAACCAGGCCTATTTGATGGTTAGTCTTGCAAAGGTCGATTCATTGGTGAAGCCGGATTTCTAGTCTACTGTGAAAAAAACTACGAAGCAAGAATTGAGCTTGAGACTGCTTGCTAAGATGATTGAAGAATAGGTCGTTGGGAATGGAAGTTGCTGCTTACCGAGGAGGTCTATTTTATTCAGCCGTTGACTGAGCCACTTTAAGCCATAGTGAAGTAATTATGTGACCCTACTTATCGTTCAGCTATTTTGCTTTCATTGTTATGTTTTTCCAAACGATTCTAGAAAGGGCGTTTATCTTTAGTTGTGGCTTGCGACGAACAAATGCATAAATAGGTAAGCAATCCGTTTGTCAATTGGAAGTTAAAAAAACTTTTAACCTACTACGCTGGACGGTAAAAGATAGTGTACCGCCTTGAAAAGCGAAAACTTTTGCCCAGCTGATCACAGCAATACCTTATAGCGACTGACAAAATTTAAGAGTTAGACAAACAGTTGCGAGCTATATAACGTACGCGTTTCCACGTTAAATACAAGCAGAATGGCTGTTATAATGTTTTCATTATTATTAATTTGAATACTTGCTAGACACGAATCTTCATTTGGTAACATAGACTAAGTGGGTAAAAATTGTTTGGCAATCACTAAAGTTAGCGACAATACATTCTGATTGTGACCTGTTAGTGACGGAGAAAGCTAAGTTGCCTGCGTCTTCAGGAAACGCAATACGTTGCTACTGGGTGCGGGGGGGGCGGGAAGGAGTTCGAAATGACCGGAATAGCTCTAGCCTATCGACAGTAAGTTAGGCATAGAAGACGTGCGGCACGTTGCTGCTTATCTCGTTCAGCGTCTCGCGTATTATTCCGGTCTCTGCTTGGTCCAATGGTACGCTCCATTTGTGCGTACTACGATGATTTTTGAGGAAACAAGCGTATGGTTTCTGAGTTCTAATATGCTAACCGTAGTAAAAACTAGGTAGGCCATTGTACTCGCCTTAGACCAGTGGTAGTTTGGTCTATCAGATCAACCGTAATATCTTTTGCTGAGTCATTTAAATGCTGTCATAATCAGTGGCGTGGGGCACTCAAGTAAGACTGCATAGAGGGGCATTCAAACTGAACTGTAAGCACATTTTTTTAATTTTAGTAATTATAAAAAAAAGAAGGCATGTTCAACCACAATTATAAGTCTTACGTGTCGTTTTGGGTTGATCAGTTACGCTAATAAATGGGTATTTGCAGCAAAACAGATTTCTCAAGTGTGTCAGAGACGTTAAACGAAGCTGGACCGAATGGCCACGATTAATCGATCGATGTAGAATAACGCAAAAGTGGAAAAAGTTTACGCCATTGAAAAGCCTACTTAGCGCCAAAAATAGCAGTGCTCTTTGCTTATAGTAAAAAATCTAGCAACCTCTTTGTCTAGGAAAAATAGAGCGTTCTATATAGTCTTTGTCCCATATAGCTCCGCCTTTCTTTTATATAGATTAAGGCGAATTCTAGTTCGGTTTAGATACATACCCGTTCTCCGTGATAGCTTAGTAGGTAACGTATTTGCGTGACAGTCTTAGGGACACGTCATGGCCTTGTTTTGAATTCGGGCGTAGATGTGCGGCTGGTTTTGTGCTGGGAACCAGCGTACGTAAAATTTGAAATATAGAGAGATGTTAAAAGAGAACGATTAAGTTCTTGTCCAGTTGTCCTGGAAGAAGCAGTCTGATGAACAGATTCAGCACGGTGTATTTCCAAAAAAAAATGTAATTTTGTAGTCAATTTGTCATTCCAACAGAACTACGTGCCGCTAAAAGACAAACACATAGACAATATGTGTGTTAATAAAGCAAGGACGTAGCGGAAATTTTCCTTTCAAACGTATACATTAGTTTTTTGTTTTGCTAATGCTCCTTCATGGAAGCTAGCTTTAAAGCGTTTCTCTATATCAGCTCTTATGCTTAGCCCTATCCTTATTCGTTGTATTGGCTAGTAACGGCAATATCTTCCGCATACAACAAAAGCTTGATCGGATCGTCTTCCATAAAGGTGAGCCGGGTGAAAAAATCATTAACAACGAGGATATTTGGTAAATGGAGTTTGGCTTGTCTCCTTTGACACGGCCTAACTGTTCGTGCAGTATTAAAATCAATCGGTTATTAGTCTTATTTTTTCTGTTTCATCATAGCGCAATGTCGTTTGTCAGAAACGTTCTAATGTGTGTTAGGCTTAAGAACAAGGATGAACACGAACTGTCAAAAACAGAATCTATGTATCAGATCCAGACAGACCCACGCGCAATTATTGCTCTTTATCGCATATATGTTCGCTTTTACTGTTAGGCCGTAGTTCGCAGCTTTTACCTGAGGGCCTATTTTCCAGAACATCTTACACAACGCATTGATGTGCCTCGATCAACCTGCGCGTGCCGTTGTTGATAGGTCTCTTAAGCGTATCAGCTATTTAGAAGATGAAGGCGCCAAGGGACTTTTAATAAAATTACGTAACTAAATAAATATTGAAATATCCGCACTTAGAAGTTGTACAGAATAAGCTACGTAAGTTCGATCGTTAATAACAATTTTGATTAATACGTGTTCAGTATCGCTTGATCTTCCGCCGTTTTGAGCGGGCTCTTACTTGAATATAGCCGCTCTATATGACCGCTTGGATATACTTAGCAGCATTTCTAGGCTTCAAATACAATTTTCGTTTTACAGCTGGATGTATATATATTGTCAGGAGAAGAAAGATGTCCACCAACTTCAGATTAGCAATTCGAAGACTTTAATTGTCACAT